ATGTACAAAAATATACATATTTTTTAATTTCAAGTCTGGTTTCTGATCCATTTTTTCAACGGCTTAATTCTCTGTTGCATAGAAATATCTTTTTGGACTAGTGATTTCATTGATGCGTTGCGCTCGCAGTTTTTGCTGAAAACGTCCATGTCTTTCGTGCATCGCTTCTACAATCTCGTGTCTCACAGTCAACTTAATAAGGAATCGCTAGTCCAAAAAGTTTTCAGTATCTTTCGCACCACCTTTGAAAAATAAATACAAAATATGTTACATAGCCGAAACTATTAGAAAATTTACATGTTACCATATACATAAATAAAGAAAAAAAAAAATCAATTTTACAATCTTTTTGCGCAGACGCGGAAAACCAAATTTGTATTGACATAAACATAGATATATACATTTGTATGCATGTATGTATATATGACAATCAAAGGCACAAAAATGCATACATATTTATGCAGGTAAAAGCATAGGTTTACATGTGCGGATGCATATCGATATGCATGCACATTAGGGTGCTCCTTAAAATATCAATATGGGGCACATTTTTAATTTGGTTCTACGTACAAAATAAATACATCCAAGAAAATTTCAAAATTAAAAAAAAAATAGTGCTCCCTACCAGTATTTGAAACAGTTTTTTTTTTAATCACAAAAATTCTACTAAATTTTGAATTTGGTTAGCTATAATTCAGCGTGTTGCGGAATATAGATGAATAACTTTCAATAATATGTAAAATTTATCAGATTTCAAGTAAAAAATTTTCTCAAATATTTGCGATTTAAAAAAAATATATATGTATATTTCACGCTCTGAATATCCTTATTTTGTACGTAGAACAAAATAAAGGAGTGCGCGCCTCATACAAAATTTAGATGTTGATATTTTTAGGGACCACCCTATTGTATATATATACATATCACTCGCGACTTATAGTAGTCGTAAGGCTTCTCGCGTATTTTCCAAGCATTTCCACGCACCCTCAATCAAATATCCACATCAGCCGTGTTAAGTTCGCCGCATAGTTTCCGAAAAATATTGTTAAAAGAAGTACCCGTATAAAAAGTTTAAATTTTGCTATGCAACTTTACCAAGTTTTACTCGGGTTTGTTTACCTACTGGCGGCGGCACAAGCTCTCAGCTTTACAGTGACTTCAAAAGTTTACCTGGAAGTGAAACATCAAAAGAAACCCTTGGGACGCATAGTTTTGGGTTTATTTGGGAAAATTGCACCAAAAACTGTCACCAATTTCCGACACATCTGCTTGCGCGGCATTAATGGTACCACTTATGCGGGTTCAAAATTTCATCGAGTCATAAATCGTTTCCTTATACAGGGTGGCGATATTGTAAATGGTGAGTCTTTGGGTGTGGTTCTTAAAGTTATTGGAATGATTCGTCTGGGGGAGGAAAATGTTTCGTCAATTTTAATTGAATTACCAAGCGTCACTTCTCTCCTCAGCACACCTACTTTTTAATTGTGCAAAAATATGTATGTGTACATTAGGATGCGTCACCCTACATAAAAAAAATTGCTACTGCTTTTCCATCGAAATCATTAATCTTTTGTATTATTTTAAGTCCGTTTATGCAATTTTTACCATTTTTATTCAGACCTTTTAAGCTGAAATCCTTATATCATCTGAGGTGAGCTTTTGGAAGGCAAATATTTTTAAAAACTAATTTTATTTATAAAGAAAACTCGATTTTTGGGGGTAATTTTAAATCGGTCCACCAATATTTTTGCGTAAGTCTTAAAATATAATCAATTTTATGATGACGGTAGAAAACTATAAATTTTTTTTGGTGATTCACCCTAATGTATATATGTTTGTATTGTGAACCAATTATTCAACTTTATAATCACTCCAATTTCAGGCGATGGTACTGGTTCGACGAGCATTTATGGCGACTATTTCGAGGATGAGGCGTTAAATGTCGAACATAATCGTCCGGGCTATTTGGGTATGGCAAATCGTGGTCCTGATACTAATGGTTGTCAATTCTATATAACTACCATTTCGGCGAAATGGTTGGATGGCAAGCACACAGTATTTGGCAAAGTGTTGGATGGCATGGATACGGTGCATGCTATTGAAGATGTCAGTTTCAGCTTTGGAATAAACAAATAACCTTTTTGGAAATTAATTTCATAAGAAAATCTCTTAATTTTTAGGTTAAAACTGATACTGATGATTTTCCCATAGACCCCGTTACCATTTCCGATTGTGGTGAAATACCAATTCAGCCTTTTGAATTCTATCCTGACGATTTTAAGTAAGTATTCAAATAATGTTGACAAACAAATGAAACAAAAGAGATAGATGGAGCGAGAGAAAATTGTTTAACCTTTAAAGCCTAATCTTGAAAACTATAAAATCTATCTAAAAATAAAATAAAAGCTACTTCAAATCGGCCGATGGGCTCAAAAGATTAGAGGTGCGTATTAAAACTCGCTAGGGACCCACCTCGATTCCGGATCTGAGGGACATTTAAAAATGCTTTCTTGGCAGCCAATAATCTCTGAGTGTATTTCAGCTGAAAACTTTATCAACCAAACAAAGGGCATCAACTCGTTTGAACCGTCCAAACCAGCTGGTTTAGCCGAGATTCAAGCAGTAACAGGGTTACCCTTTGTATAGTTTTAGATCGTGCCAAACGCAGCCTACATCCTCAAAGCGTGGGCCATGCCGAAAGTGTTTCTTATAGCAATAGGATAGAAATACTTTGCTCTAGACCTTGAAGAGATCTCCAGACATCTATGTACATCTGTCACATGTTTACTCTAAAGGCAAATTTGTGGATATGTCCATGCATCAAATTGTTACTTCTATTGCAGAGTAAAAGCTCTCTCTGCTCATCGCTGTTCTAGACTAAACAATTCCGACATCCGCTTTACCGCAGGAATTTCAACGACTCAAAGTTGGATGATAGGATAGTAAGTAGTGTATACTCGCAGAAGCTTTCATTTAAACACTTCCCGGGGTGTACTCCAAAGTCTGGCTCCTCCATCATTAGATACCTTTGGTTACTCGTGGGCATCTGAGTAATTTATAGATGCCAATGGGTTCACCGGTTCTTCAATCCCTATAAATCTCTAGGTATGGACGTTATTTTTTCCGGCGAAATTCAGTCGGCATCTGGCATTCGGTGCCTGATGCAGAGGAAGTCAAATATTTGGTCGATGTTCTGGACAGGAAGCTAACATGGTTTCGTAATGAAAAGAACCGTTCTAGGAAGGGCTCAAATTTCCCCCATACACCTGCAGACCAGCTGAAAAGAATAAAAAAAAAAACACAAAATGGGATTGTATAATCCGACGCACTGATAACCTTCTCCTTTTTCGCAAGTCGGTTAACAAGCTGACAAAGTTTCAAAGGATGTGATTTACTCCCAACGCAGCCAAGAGTTCTAGGGACCCTTTCTTTACTTTTTACCTGTGGATTTATGTACATATATTGGACACCACAGGCAAGGTGTAAAATTATAAGCGTTCATTCAAGAACGCCCTACTTCAAAATTTGATTCAAAAACGTCCTAATTCAGAATTTTATTGAAAAACACCCTATCTTAGAATTCTGTTCATAAACGCCCTATCTCAAATGAAAATACATTGAAAATAAGCTGAGATAGGGCGTTTTTGAATCGGCAGCTGGGGTAGGGCTTTCCTCAACCAAATTCTGAGATAGGGCGTTCTTGAAAAGTTTTCTGAGGTAGAGCGTTGTTGAAAAATTTTCTGAGATAGGGCGTTTTTAAACTGGCTGCCAAGATAGGTCGATCTTCCACTCAGCCATCGATATAGTAGTCGAATGTCGTAGTTTTTCTATGAGTCACTAGGAGCCTTTGCTGAATACCTCTAATATTTTCTTGAGGGTGTGGCTTAACTGAGCACATATAGCTTCTATGATTTTGCGACCATTTCCACTTCTAGGAGAAAAAAGCGTATAAGAAATCTTTATTACGGTATTGCAACAGACCCGAGTCCGCCAAAGTGTGTCTTAGATCGTACAACCTTACAAGCAAGCAAAAAAAGTTCGCCGTATACCGCTAAGTCTAATGAAGTTTTGCAAGGTAAATTGCAAAAAAAAAAAAAATAATTACTGGAATAATCAAAATACTTCCTTAGCAAAAGTTTAATGATTTTGGATGAGAATTAATTTATAGACATTAGGGTAGTACGTTAGGGTGATAACAACTGAGATGTGGTGGGTAAGATCCAACTGTAAATGCCGAAGATATCACGAAAAATGTAATAAGGTAACCCATACTTTCGGTAAAAACATTTTTGTTTTTCTAAATTGCCTTGCAAAAATACTTTAGACTCAGAGGTGTACAGCGAACCTTTTTTTCTCCTTCCAACGTTGGATGAGGGCAGCCCTTGATGATAATCTTACCTAAATAATTACAAATACATATTTTGGTTTTGGAGAGGTCAGGTTTTAAATGAAAGTCTAAACATTTCCCTTTTTCACCAACTAGGCAAACACTCGCTACTAAATAAATGAAAAACTATCAATAAAAAGTATGAATCTAATTTTGTTTCCTTTTCCTCTACAGCATAATGAGCTGGGTTAAGGCGGCCGGACTACCTGTAATGAGCTCGTTCATAGTGCTGCTTATTTTCCATTACTTCTTCAGGCAACTAAATATGTACTGTTGACGCATGCAAGACCTTGTTGGAAATGAAAAATATATGTGAAAGCATTTTAACTAAAAAAAATAGTAAATGATATATTTAATAGACAATTTTACATTTGAAAATACATATAGATATGTGCATACATTAAAAATCTTCGAAATACATATTGTAAATATTCTACATATGTAGGTATTCACACCTTCCCGGTTATCAGATTAACTCGTTAAAAATAATTATCCGCCAGCTTATTTTATTGTTGTAATCTGAATAAAAAGTATAAATAGGCACATAACCAATTAACCCGATAACCAGTCAGGTGTGAGCACCTACATTATTTTCATTAAATTATTTTCAAATCTAATCACGCTTAGCGATGAGGCCACGCAGCAGTATAGGCAAAGTGGGGCCCAAATGTAGCTATAAAAAAAAAGAAAAAAATAAAAAAGGTTAAACATTAAATTCATTTAATTTTCTTAATTTTTTTAGGCCCAGTACATGACTTTTTTATAACCACTTCGGAAATAGTTCAGGATCATTTGGTGACTACTTTCGAACAACCCCCAAAATGATCATGAACTAGTCCCGAAATTAACCTGGAGTGGTTCTGAAAAAGTCCTGAACTTGTGCCGAAATCATCTCGAACAAGTCTTGAAACGGTCCGGAAATTGTCCCTTACTTGTCCCAAAATGATCGCGAACTAGTACCGAAATGGTCCCTTACTAGTCCCAAAATTATTGCGAACTAGGCCTTAACTAGTGTCGTAATGGTTCTGAAATAGTCCTGAACCATTTCCGAAAACAGACTCGAAATGGTTCTGAACAAGTACCGAAATGATCCCGAAGTACGCCTGAACTAGTCTCAAATGGTCCAAAAACTAGTTCCGAAATGGTTGGGAAACAGTCGTAAACTTGTCCCGAAATGGTCCAAAAATAGCTCCGAAATAGTCCACAAAAGTTCCCGAAGCGATCCCAAATTATTCCGAACTACTCCCGAAATAGTTCTGAAATAGTCCTGAATATGCAACGGTCGAAAAAGTGGTGTACTTGTCCCGAAATGATCTCGAAAAAGTCTTGAAACTGAGCCAAAATTTGTCTTCATTAGTCCAAAAATGATTCCGAACTAGTCCTAACCAAAATGGTTCTAAAATAGTACTGAACTAGTTCCGAAACGGTTTTGGACTAGAGCCAAATTTATCCCAAACTAGTTCTGAAATGTTATTGAAATAGCCCGGAACTAGTCCCGAAATAATCCAGAACTAGTGAGAAATGGTCCTTAAATAGTTTGTGAACTAGTAAGGAAATGGTTCCTTACAGGTCTCGAAATGGCCCAAAATTAGTCTCCGAAATGGGCCGGAACAAGTTCCGAAACGGTCCTGAAATTGTCTCGAGTTGTCTACTTCCTTAATAAAAACATGTATTTTCATTTACAGCTTACATCAATGTATAGATAATCCTCAAGTATTTGTCCCTCCTCGTAGTACTTCGCTTCCGGTTTAAACAAAATTACAAGCCTCGCTTCGCCGCTATAATAGTTCCGCTTGCTGTTACTGAATATTTTGCACAAAGTAAAGTGATGCTTGTGATCTTCATATACCGATTTATTCAAGCTGTTATAGTAGTTCTGCAATTCTTTGCGCTGCTTAGCGTCCACTTCCAAGCGCGTATGCTGCTCTTTACGATCCAAATCGAACGAATGCGCATGCTTGACTTTCGGATCTGTTTCTGTATCGATAATACGCTCAAAAAGATTGCGATAGCGTTTGACCAATAAGCTGGCCGATTTCTTTTCAGCTGCATAGAATATATAGTCGTGATTCTCACTACGTACAAAGAAAGTTAATTCAGCGTGCGTAAAGTTAAATAACAAACAACAACTTTTATAGTTTTCCTACCTCTTTTTCACTTCGAAATCCACATACAGCCCAGGTATTTTCACCTCTGTGCGCACAGATGCAATCAGTTTGCCAGGTCCATAGAAATGCAAATCGATAACGAATTTTCTCAATTGTCCCAATACCAATTGATTCATATTGAATACAAAACCCTGCTGCTGAAATGGTAGCGGTTGTGTGGTGAAGTGCTTGAGATTAATTGGCATCGATTCACCATAGCTGCTGATCAGCTTCACGTAATCCTGATGCACCTTACGTAAGAGTAGCGCCGTTTTCGTATTTGCTTGCAATTGCTTAATAAACTTTTGTGTCTCGATTATTTGCTCCAACACGCTTGCATGCGGCAGTTCACCATTATTATTGACAATTACATAAGTTTTCATCAATTGAAAGAAACGCGCTTGCCGACTGCTCGTAGTGCTCGTGGTGGCATCTGTGTTTATGCTGCTCAATGAATATTCAATGGTACGCCGGCTGACATTGTCCTCCTCCTTGGGCACTGGCAAATCTTCGTCGAATTCGGTTATCGATTTGAATACATCAAAATAGTAGATGGCGCGTAGTAGTTCATATTCGTCTAAAATCTCGAAAATCGCCTGTTCGGGACGTTGCAATTTCGTGGTTACTGCAATTATGGGCATTATACCCTGGCCGCGTAATTGTATTATCTGCTCTTCGCTCTTATTCGCAGTCACTTGAATTTCATGCATGAATTGCCCGGAGAAACCCATTATGCCTTCGAACCGCAGCAGCGTTGACTTAAATTTGCAAATATCAAAAGTTCTATTGTCAATAATTTTTGCATAACCTTGGAAGAGCCGTTGACTTTTGTCCACCACTGTTTTGTGACTTACACTTACAGTGATGGGATACTGGGTGACGTTGATTATACGCACAGAGGCATTGAAGAGTTCATACCAAGGCTGAAAGTGCGCCCAGGAAATCGGTTAGTTGAGATTTAGAAAGCGTTTGAGAAATTGAAGACAAGAAGAAGACTAAGGAAATAAATGCCCATCTACAAACTTAGAACTTTGACCGTCAAAACGAAGAACCAGCGATCTTTTCAATTAAACAAGGATGAGTGAAATAAAACTATGCGAGTGCTTTTTGGTCGGAATGGCAGGACCCGCCATCGTCTACACGTCTGAATGACCTTATATTAGCATTGTGCCAGCTCTGCTGTTTACTGGGAATATAGGGATGTGAGAAGCACTTAACGAACCTCACTCATCTAGGTGACACTACCCTAATTAGAGTAACATATAACCGGTCTTCTTTGCAGGGAACAATAATACGTTCTACTCTTTGTGGTACGTCAGCTCGTGGAGTACTGCGGAAAGAAAAACCTTCCGCTGAACATCGGCTACGGTGCGAACGCTGACAGTGTAGAGTAGGTCAGCAGGTGCATGAACCGGAGGGGTGAGTACCTACTTATAAGTTAAGACCGCAGGATCCAAAATACTGGCCTTGGAACGACATTTGCTAGCAGAACCAAAGCAGAGGTCCTCATAACTTTTGGAAACAGACTGTCGAGTGCTCTGACCGTACTGAGTCTAATGGCAAAACTACTCAATTTGTGTTAGGAGCTGAGGCCCGGGACGGTCGTTCTGGGAGAAAACCCTGGCAAACAAACTTGACAAACCTTAGCTATTTGCTTAGCAAGGACAGCTAGCCTTTACCTCTAGCTGCTCCGTAACCAAACAAAACTTGGTGATCTCGGAAACTCTTAGCGCTAAGCAAGGAGTTGCATATGCTTTTTAACAAAGCGCACATGCTCACAAGATGCTGGGATGAATACTCAGCTAATTTGATAGAGCACAGTCAAGAGATGAGGAAGGCTAAGCAGCGCCTTTTCAGAACTTTTGTGTTGGTACCTCGTCTAGCCCCGTAGCTGCGAGATTTCGCGAACGCTTGGCTGGATGACGTACATACATAAGTCAGGCGAGCGATTAGAACATCAAATCGTGCCTACACCAAGGAGCCCACGCCCTGCTTTTGCCCACTTCCCTCATACCACCTCCAGTGAAGAGGAGACGGAGTTCCTAGAGTTTAGATCTTCTTCATCAGACTTGAAGCTGACAAAAACCTTATTCACCATTGCTCTCGTCCGATAACTAAAAATCCCTCAAGGTATATAAGTAGCATCAGCCCAGTGCTGTTGAAGGGTCTCCCAATTCCGTAGCAAACGCTATTAGAGACAGTCTCTCTCTATATTTTGTTCCTGGGGTAGAGGAGAGTTCGGGTAGTTTTCTTTTCAACCGTCTGGAGAAGAGACTATTCCCCAGAAAAATCCTTCAGGCACCACGATGTTCCCGATTCCAGTTGCAGCAATTCTTGTTTGAAACAGCTTAGCTATCCTTAGATTCCATCTGCGGATAGTCAACTGCACATTACGTTTCTTTATTGTCGAAGTGTCCCCCAATATCGAGAAAAGCGTAAAGTACTGTTCATCTACACCATAGCAGTTTCTGTGGACTTTCCTGCCCTATATATGTGCTGGTTGGGATGCAAATGAGCTTCAGAGTATTTGGCCTGCAAGGAGTGTACTGTCGACTCGCTGTGGAGCTTAGTAGCGCACGGACTTCTACAAATCTTCTATGACAATAGTTTCCACTTCCGAGGGTATGCGGATGACTTAATAATAATTACCAGATGGAAGTTCGAGAGTGCCCTCTTCGACATAATATAAAAGAGGCCTTAAGTTTAGGCTCACACTCAAGTGTGAGCGACCTATAGGGCAGTGGTTTGGGATTTAAGAACTACTATCTTAAACTTCGCAGGAGAAGGCTTTGGATGAGGAAAAGTTTTATCAACTATAAACATGGAAAATCTAGGATTTAAGCTTCTATTAGTCCTCTTTCCAAAATTTATATGAACTAGTAGTTGCTTTTGAGTTGAAATTTAAATGGAGCTTTGCAGTCAAACCACTTAGAGTACCTCTATTGTGGAAAGGCATATTCAGGCGAGTAATACACAAAGGGTTCTAAAGGCACATAAGGCATTAAGGCAGACAATTTTATAACAGAGTATGTATCTGTGCTTATGGGCAAGTACTCGAGCATTTTATAACTGGAAGTCTATGCCCTTAGTTGGTGGGCAAAGATTAATTTACGTAGAAACTAACGTATCGAGAGAGTCCGAATCCTTCACGAAAGTCAGGCGATACTCAAACCTCTGTTCCCTTTTGAGGTTAAGTGATCTAGTTTGAATGCAATGAGAAACTCAACGCCCTTTCTGAACATAATGACATTCAGCTGCTTTGGGTACCAGGACATAGTGGAAAAGAGGTAGCGAACGACTTTGCTAGGAATGAAGCGGCCTCGACTAACACAGTACCTGAAGCGTTCCTTGTAGTTGGACCAAACACCATCCGAGAAGAAAGAGATGGTTAACATAAAAAAAAACACCGACGAAGCAGCACAGGACTTCGCCAAACCAAAAGCATAATTTATGGGGTAAAACTGAAGATAAACATATCTAATTAAACTCGACTAAGCATCCGCATAGGTTAAGAATTTGGTCAAATGATCTCTGTCGTTTTTTCGACTCAACACCAGCTGTTTCAAGAAGACGGGAGAAAAGTCTAGACTCAATGATTTTAAATAAAATTCTAAGACTAAACCTTCTGGAGAGTATAGGACTAGAAGCGGTATTGTGGAGAGTATAGCGCAGGTCTCAGTTCATACCTGTTGTTTTTATTTCTCTATCCAGCTTTCAGAGAGATGAAAAAGAAACAAAGTTCCCCCGAGATGGCTCGGATCTATGGCGATTTATCAAAGTTGAAGTAAAGAAAGACAATGTAATGTATAAACTAATACGGGCCTCTTTTATCATAGGTATCGAACTACCCAGAAGTCACGCTCCATTTCACCGTTCTACGTAGATATCAAATCCCTAAACTCGATCTTAATTAGTTGCGACCAAAACATATCCACCGCCAAAAACTTTTTACAGCTTTCTAAAGATTTTAAAAAGTCGCGCTCAGAATAAATGCTCCTTCTGTCCGCCATTGGACCAAATCAGTTACGACCAAACCATTTCCTGAGTTGGAAGCTTTTTAAAGCTTTTTATTTTTACTTTTCATATAGTCGCACACAAAGTAAAAATTCCTCAGCCGCCACTACTCTAAAGCGGTGTCAATTGGAAAGAGCTTTTACTCTCTTCGCATCCACATAAAATCCATTGAAAGGTTAAAAAAGCTCATCCCGCAGACATGTTTTAATCTTCACTGCATGGCTGTAAAACAAAATATTCTGTAAATTGTGCTTGATTTTGTACCTTGACTCCGAGATACACGCTCTCCGATGAGAATTCCATAACCTTTTCCAAATTTACCAGCGTAATGCCGAATTGTTGCGGACAACTGCCAAACGTGTCGAGTATAAATACAGCCGTTTTGGCATAACCTGTTAAAAGCAGATATAAAAATGTTTACATTCACCGTACATCCCTAAGTTTAAAATATTTTTGCAAGGCAATTCAAAAAAAAAAATATTTTTAATTTATGCCGAACCTAGTGTTCGTCCTTTTACATTTTTCGGTGACACCTACATTCGGCAAGAAAAAACTTTTTTTTTCAAATAGTTCTACAAAAACTTCGATATATCATACTTTAAAATCCAACTGTAAATGCCGAAGATATAACGAAAAAAACTAGAAGGACGATCTCTACGTTTGGCAAAAAAAACTAGTGTGTCCCGCACTAGTCCCAAACTAAACCCGAAAAAGAACTCAACTAGTCCTGAACTGCTCCCGAACTAGGCCCCGAAAAAGTTCCGAAGTATAACAACTAGCAGTGTTGCTAGAACAGCTGATTAGATTTGTTGTCAAATGTACTATTCCCGAATTCGTCTTGGTTTACGCGTGACTTCCGCCTGGTTTTTGAATCAATATATTATTATAAAGCTATGCAACGAAAAGTTGTAGACGGTAATATTTTCGTTGTGGAATTCTTTTAGTAAATACTACTGTAACAGCTGTAAGCACAGGCCGTTTGTAATGAAAAATTACAGATTTTCTGCTGGGTTGCTCAAGAGTAGTCACAAAATTTTCTGCTGCGTTAACGCAAGATTTACCCATTCCGGTTGTAAATATGTTTACACATAAAAAAATTGTTCGAAATTGCTTTGCAAAAATACTCTAGACTCAGGGGTGTATTGCGAACAGTTTTTTCCAGTACGGTCTAATGTATATGTATGTATTTCTTCCAAATAATTAAACACGAATAACTCTTAAATTAGTATGAAAACTCACCTGGTTTGACTGGCGGTAAAAATAGCGCAGATTTTACTTCACTGAATTTCTTCACAAATCCACTCTTTTCTAAAAAGTGTATGGTGCGCTCATTGTCGCACTCATCTAAACTCTCTTGCGAAATATCGTAGGAGTCCTCCAGTTTCAGACCATGCAAAATGCCATCCAAAGTTTTGTTCACGAATTCGCCCGAAGTGCAACGCTTCGCACTCAAACAAGTATTACCCTCTTCAACCAGATTCACCATATAACGTTTATGTTCTAAATCCAAATTATCGATGAGTTCATCGATGATAGTCGAAATGCCAATTGGATCCTCGAGTTGTTTCAATTTGCAGCGATATTTCTGATAGCGTAAAGTCATATTGCGTTGATAAATTGAATCCTCATCCGTATCATTATCATCAATGTCCAACATGCGTATTATTTCGGAGAGTATATCAAGTGAAAATTTGTAGGTGTCATCGTACTGCGGAGAAGTAGAAGTTAGTTTGGAGGGCTTTATTTAATGGAAGCTATTTTTTTTTTTTTTTAAATCTTACATCTGCGACATATGCCGTCTTCTCTTCGACTTTCTTCCATTTGTACTGTGCGTCCAAACAAGATATATTTCTTACTTCCACATAAGTCAAAGTTTCCCTTTCACGTGTAAATATTATCATATCCGGTTGTGTGATTCTCAATTCTGGACTGCGGATTATTAATTTCAATTGCAATGATCTCTGTGTACAAAAGTTGGAGGGAGAAAAGTAGTAAAATTTATGCGATAAATTTGCTTTTGTCTAATTTTTTAATCTACTTTTTCATTGTAAATTTGACCGCCCTATTACCATGTCATTGACAAAACCCATCGCATGACAATAGTCATGGTCTTACCTACTGCGCCTAAAGCTATGCCGTAAATTGATTTTAAGCGCTCTAAATATGTCAACTGTCATTGTTATCTTTGTTTATATTGTGCGTTATAGTTTTAGGTGTAGTAGGTAAGACCATGACTATTGTCCTGCGATGAGTTTTGTCACTGACATGGGAATGGGGCTGGAAGTGTGCTGAGTTCTGAGCTGTTGCCAACTACAGTATTGGATTCGCAATCTCTTTAACTGAAAAGCAGCGTTTGATTTGCACTTCGGTGTTGGAAAGGGGGGTCCATTACCTGATATTTATTATCTGCCTCACAGAGTATGCGCCCATCCACGGTGGTGCAAAATTCTTCACGTATTGCCGATTTATGTAGCGATATTAAAATCTCTTTCTCTTCTAGGCCATTCATGGTGAAATTAATGACTTTAGTGAAATGGTGTTCAAATAACTGCTTGATTTTAAATGGCCCCAAAATTTTCAGATAGACGTTACTCTGCACATCACTCATGTTCTTTAGGCATGCAGTGGCTGGAAATTAAACATTTTTTTTTAATTGAATTGAGCTTATTTTTGGCAACACAATAATAATTTGGTCTTTAAAACTTGTTCTTATTTTCAATGGACATATTCCTGTCTGAAACATGATGGCTCAAGTTCAACTAAAGGCATGCCTGTGAAACGAGTTGAGATAATAACGTTGGGTAAGGCTATGCTGGCTGTCCCGTAAATTCCTCACACCCTAGGTTTGTTTAGGTTATGCAGGCAACTCTGAAAAGACACCACAAAGGCTCATCACAATGCCCAGTAAGATGGTTTCCCCAAGCTTACCCTAAATGTCTCTAGCGAATCCTAGTAAACCCTCCAATGGGACTCTCCCTAAGCTGTCTAGGCTCCCGAAGTGTTCTCCAATAAATTTAAGGAGTTATTTTTTCGAGTGCAGGGCATTTGTGGCACAAAGCTCAATAGCACTGTTGAGAGAAGTGTTGGACGCTAGTATTCCTGTAAGAAGCCATAAGTTTGGCTCTGTGAGCCTTAGTAAACTCCGTCTTCTTCGTTCAGCAAGCCGTGGCCAGAGTAAGCGCGATACAGCGCAAGTGCTCAGATTAATCCACCTGCTACTGCTGGTTGCACGGGTCACTTTCTCAACTTGTGAGGATAGGAATTGCAGCGGAGGTTTTACGATCTGGATCGCTTCCCATAATTTTATCTCTGATCTTTTTTTAGCACACTAGTCCGTTTCCTCATTTACAGAATGACCTAGCAAAGATTGATTTTGTGTTTTTGAAGATCTTGTAGGAATCTTCGGCATTCCTTAATGCATATCGAGTCAGTCATTGTAGACCCTAAAAGGCTTTGATGCCGGCTTGACTGTCAATAACGTAGGCAAGCTTAGATGGAGCTTGCCTCCATGTCAATTTTATATACTGTAGCCTGGAAACCGCTGCAGTGATTAGAGACTCTATAGGACTCTTTGAGAAATAATTTCTGAGGGAATTCGTCAGGTCCTGTTCCAATGTCCATTTTATTAAGCTCCCAGTCACTTCTGTCGGGAAAATGGATTTAAAAATTTCGGTCGAATCATAGCTACTGTACTCCACCCCAACTCTGTCGAAGAAAGTGGCGTAATCTTTGCAAGTTTTTCGCAGCCTGTTAGACGCCGTAAGTGCTAGAGCGCTTTTAGCTGCGATTTTTTTCACGTATAAATATGTTGGTGAAATATTCAGGAGTGTATCTAATGCCCCCTGGGGTTTTGAGTAAATTTTGTACAGGCATGCTTGTTAGTTTGAGTCAAACGCCTTCTACCAAACCAGCTCGTCATGGTGGGGATAGGTCTAATTACCACCATGGAAACCCATGTATAATATAGGCCGTAGCCACCAGTCTTTCCCATAGTGTGGCTGTATTCCTTACTTCGACGTTTCCTGTAATCAACATATCGTCGATCTAGAGAATGATCGGTAGATCCAGTCCCACGGGAACCATGGAGGAGTGTATGAATGCCAAATTAACATTGTTAAAGACGCCTTCCACGTCTATGCATTATCTTGAGGAAATATCATAAGAGGCCGATGGACCTAAACTCTTTTGCAGGGCTATGACTTTTCTTCCCTACTTTAGGAATAAGGATAGCTCTTCCTCCCTCCTTGTCTTTGAAATATGACTATGAGGAGTATAGCTGGTATGATTCCATCCGGTCGCGGAGGTTTATCTAGTAGCCCAAGCTACTTTATCCTCAGTGACGATGTTGTCAACTAGACTCCCTTGCCTATAAGTGTTAGGGGTTTCTGTCACAAGGCTCCGTAGTGCTACCAGATACATTTATGAACAATTAATCTGTACTCACGAACCTGAAGCCATGCGAATTGCCGTAGACATTTTCGCCCCTTGTCGATTGCTGATTGTAGGCTCTGTAGCCGGACTTCACAAGTACTAGAGCCAGTCTTTGTCTTATGAAAGCTGGACGCTCGCAAATTAATGTTACTGTTTCCTCGCGAAAGATGCGTTTCCTATACTTCTTGTCTTATTACTAGCAAGCAGCGCCATCTTAGGAGTCTTACCAGATGTCTTGACTCTGTTCTTTTTATTGATATCGGTAAGTTTTCTACCGTAAGATCTCCACATAGTCTTTGAACCCACTCCCGAAATGGTTATAAAAAGTCGTGTACTGGTCCCGACAAAATGTATGAATACAATGAAATTAAATTAATGTTTAATTTCTAACCTAACCTATTTATGTATGTACATATGTACGAGTAACTGTACTCTAGCTGGTACTCACGCCTTTTTATTTCTAAATACTTACCCAACACAGGATGATCTTTATAAATATGCGTCCTATTATACTCCATCTGTATTAGCTTTTGACACCAATGTATTTCCGGTTCCACAAATGTGGCTGTAACTGTAAAGCGTGTAGTGTGTACCTTCAATTTGCAATCTTGATCGATTATTCTGACACGAAACTCATTATATATTATGCCAGCGTCACAGGAATCGGCTGTTATATACAAAGTACCCTCGGATTGCGGTTCGAGACATAAAGTTTTCGGTGAAACTGTCAAATGGCCACGTCCAAGTTCAATTGCACATTTCGCTAGATTATTGCGTAACTTGTCGATATAAAAGCAATATCTATGTTTGCCATTATTTGTTAGTTTTACTTCTTTTTTATATTTTGGCTCATTCGTTTCGGTTTCGTACTTATTATCTTGACAATTTATCATTAGTGTACCACAATCGTGGCCATTGAAAATATTCGGTTCCATATTGATGGGTGAGCCCTCTACGACGTAGGTCAGTGGTACTTCCTATGTAAGTGAGTGAATAGAGTTGAAATAGGTTGGCTGTGGTAATATAAATTCTACTCACAATGGTAGCGCTATTCCTAATATTTATGACTAAAGTATTGTGATAAGTATCCGCATCGTAGTACTTTGAGAAAATTGAAACATACATGCCTTGGCCCTCTGGCGAAAGTACGGCGCCACTGGGTTCAATATATTGGTATTTATAGTTTTTCTAAAAAGAGATAAAGCATAAGGATTCATCAACATTTTATGGAGATTTGTTGCTATTTATGTATTTTTAAGGGAAGACCAAACGGGGTTGCAATGGGGTATGGAGGGGTCGCCGTTGCATTTGTTTTAAGTATTCGGTTTAGGGATTTATTGAAGTCTACAGTGTCTGTTCACTAGGAGGTGTATCTGCAAGCGGCTGTCTGTTTTGAAGTCTGTTCTGTGTGTGCGCTGAGTTTGAGACCCACTACACAAAGCAAAATTCCACCGTAAAATTCGAATAAACCTCGCGTGAGACCCCTTCTTTTGATGACGACCACAGTGAGACTTTAGAGTCCTATGAATTGAGAGATTTCGCTGACCTAAATGGGGTTAGATCGCCGAAACAACAGGCTTTGGCCTGGTAAAACCCGAATCATTCCGGTACGTAGAACCGGATGACGAGGCCCAGATGTTCCTCATTAAGGAGCATAACAAAATAAAACAACTTCTGGACCCGACTGCATACCGACAGGCAATAAGAACAGAAGCTTTAGATGGGTGGGTGGAAGCTGCACACTTCCTGGGCCTCCCTTTAGCTGAGCCTGTCGACAACGTTGATGGACAAGCCGACCGGAGAGGGGTTTACTAGCCGCTAGAACAACAACAACAACAACAGAAATATGAATTGAAGGTACGAACTTGGAGTGAGTCTACCCTTAAAGGCTCCACTGGGTTCAATGGGAAAGAGTTTCTTTCCAGCTACTTGATGACCTCAGAAAGACTAAAGTTGACATCGCCGCCATCTAAAAAATGGGATGGGCGAGGTAAGATAAAATCGCTGGGTACAACACTAGAGCTTCTATGAAAATCAGCGCAATTTCGGTGTTCGATTTGTGGGGGAATAGGGATTATGTATATATGTTCCCTAGTACTGACATTCACCCCGGTGGACGAGCGTCTAGCTACAATCCGTACCAAAGCGAGGTGTCAGAAGATCTCTTTTATGAGTGCTTGGAACGTACTTAAGAGCGCTACCTCCATAACGAAAGGAAGGGACCTTTGGTCCCCACCGTTGGAGAATTCAGTATACGCGATGAAAACTCCGATTAGGTTCATCGACTTTGCTATACCCGAAGCATGGTCGTCTGTAGTACGAGGTTCCAGCATGAAAGGATTTGTCAGGCTACATGGCTGCTACAGACGGGAAAACAAAAAACAAATCGATCACGTTTTAATAGACAGACCCCATGTTTTCGTTGTTCTTTGATCACTTTTTGGTAAAAGTAAAAAAAAGGAATGCTTAACGTCGAAAAGCTGCAATCCCAACAGGCAGCCGGCATCCTCGCCATTTGATCTCTGAAAGTACTCTTCAACAAGCACACATATGAGACCTCTCATTACGTACCACCGCCGAAGAAGTAGTCGGATTTCAGTGAGCCCGAAAGAATAATTGGTACGCCGCTGCTGAAAAAAAGAATACCGCCTACAAAATCGCGCTCGAATCGAGCGCATCAGGTATTTCCCCTCATAAAAACAGAGAGCCCAATATTCGTGAGTAGGCATAGCCAAGCGGAAAATCCTACGAGAAAGTTAGGCGACTTACGGCTGATGCGAATTTTCGTCTCGTAAGAACAACCACAGTGACCTGTTTAACGATGTATAGAACACACCGAAATTCTGGAGAGAACCCTTGCCCACCCTGTTGGGTGTTATCACCACTAAAAGTAGTAGGGAAAATGAACGCTGACTGCGGTAGTCAAGGACGACGGAATCGATGCTACACCGCCCGACTAAGACGAGGTATGAATACGCGGCTGAAAAACAACAAAAAGTTGCTGGAGCGGTGATAAGATGCATGCATAAAATTTTATGTAGACTATAGCCGGATCAGCCTCTTCAAGGTAGCGTAGAAGCCCATCCTGAGGGCAATTAGTGAGCCTTATCCACCTGGTATTCACCATACGTCAAAATTTGGAAAACACTCGCGAGCAGAGGATCGACACACACCATTGATTTTTATTAACCGACTTCCAAAAAAGGAGGAGGTTATCAGTTCGTCGGAATATTTTTTTTTTTTTTTTTTTTTTTTATGTATGTTACCGCATAACTTTGGACCACGTCAACCGATAATTCGATAATTCTTTTTGCATCGGAAAGGTAGTGTCTCAGAGGTGGTCCCATAGTAATCTGGTTAAGATCCGATCAGCGGATCGTGAGATATATATATATATATTTTTTTATATGAGAGTTGAAGTCGGTTTTTTTTTTGCTAAAAATTACTTGTTTGATTTCAAAGTCACTTACGACAGCATGAAAAGCAGCTGCCTATAGGCCACGATGTCTGAACTTCTTAATGCTAATACGACTATGTAAATTTACATTGAAGATTCGGTATGCGGTACAACCAGACATATCGTAACACGCCGCACCGTCGTATCGCGCCTGTCTGTGCGGGCCTTTTTTAGGCAAGGAAAATTTATATGTTAACGTGGATACTTACCAGCCTCATGGTGAAACTTGTTACCGTTGGTGTATCATTTTCTATACACAAATGTACCACAGACCATTCGAGTACTTTTTGACGCTTGTAAATAGTGGTCGCTGATAATTTGATTTTAGTTGGTTTCACTTCGGCGAATATGTGAAATGGCGATCCGTTCGGATTACCCACTATCTTAATACTGTAAAAATGCAACTCAGAAGTGCTTAAAGCATAACATAATAATTTTTTTTTTTTTATACTTACAGCCCAGAGAGTTTAACTTTACCTAATCGATGAAATACTATGGTACCTTCTACTGCAACTTCTCCATGTGAGGGCATGAAATATTTCGAAATATCATCCTGCAAGGTCAGTTCACCAAGGTCGTCAGCGGGCTATGCATTAAAAAAATGAAAGGAAGGATGAAATTGGACATTTTACAGTAATAAATGTATATTTATTTGTGCCTTACTATCACATCGAAGTGGAAGAAACCGGGTACATTGGTTGTATTTTTAAAAGACATAATTAATTCTACTCCTTGGCCAACGTAGATACTTTCCATTTCATAGCTTATATCTTGTGTGAAAGTAATCTCTGGCAAGCGACAATTGTATTCCAACCAAATTTTTGTTGTAAACATTTTTGAGTTTATAAAAAATGTACCACGCAGATCCCAGCGTGCATCGGTATTATCCACATCGTGTTCTTCTTCGGTTATTGGACAAATGCGTACATTTAGCGAGCGATTGAATAAGCCTACTCTATTTGGTATTAGTAACACCGAAATGCTTTTACCTGCATTCGGTTGCAAATATATAATTTCCTTGTCACAATAAATCTCTTTCGGGTTAAACGGCACAATATTCCAATCCATTTGACCATAATTTGAAAATTGCTTAAGCGAATTAAAATAATTTGTATGCAATAGCAGTTGTAAAGCCTCGCTAACTACACATTCTTCCGCTTCTCTGTTTTCCAGATATTTTTTCTCCTTTATTTTGTTGACTATAGTAAATGCAAAATCTGGTATGGCATCTAAGAGGGTATGCGAAATAGTGTAAATATTAAAAAAAGGCCATGGGTACCAGGTATTCATGAAATTTGATGTGTAAACAACTGTGTCCGCCTTGGCAATACATTAGGCGATTCAGTTATATACATGGGGTTAGGTTAGCAATAAAACTTAATTTAATATCATTAATTTGTCGGAATCAGTAAACGACATTTTCTTAACCACTTCAGGAACAGATCAGGACAATTTCAGGATCATTTCGTTACGAGTTTTGAACTACCCCGAAATTATCCCGAAGAAGTCCCAAAACTTTCCTGAAGAGGTGCTGAAAATATCGTGAACTTCTCCTGAAATGATCCCGAACAAGCCTTGAAACGAACCCAAATTGACCCCGAACTAGTCTCGGAATGTTCGTGAAAAAGTCGTGACCTAGTCCCGAAAAGGTTGTCAAATAGTACTGAACCAGTCCCGAAACGGTCACAAAATGATGCCGAACTGGTCTCAAAATGGTCTTCAAATAGTCGAGAACTAGTCCTGAAATGGTGCTGAACAGGTCCCGGAACGGTCCAGCAATGTGCCCGAAACGGTCCTGAAAAAGTCGTGAACAGGTCCCGTACTAACCCCAAAATGGTCTGTAAATAGTCGAGAACTAGGCCCGAAATGGGCCAGAACAGGTCCAGCAATGATCCCGAGCTAGGCCCGAATTGGTCCTGAATAGGTCCCGAAATTGGCCAGCATTAGTCCCGAAATGGCCCTGAAATAGTCCTCAACAGCTCCCGAAATTTTACCGAAGTAGTCCTGAGCTGGTCCCAAAATGGTCCTGAAATATGATTTTCTACTGGGTTAGCCAAGTTGCAGTTGCTAATTTTATGCTGAGTTAACGGAAATTAAATTAATAAGAGCTATGCAAGATGCTTACACATCAAAAATTTACAATCATCTTTATACATATGTATGCGCTCATTTACCTAAGACTTCTTCTTCAAAATGGCTACTACACGTAGAAATTTCTGTGCCGACCGAACGGTATGACGGCAATGAATCCGTTTTACTTATCAATTCTATCGTCCGTTCGCCTTGACTACCTTTATCATCTTCGTCATCCGACATCGCCATCATAGCAGCTATATAATCTTTAATAGTTATCGGTTGTAATCCATCAGCATTGTCTACATTAAGCACAAGCGGTGTTTCTTCGCCATCCTCGCCAACGGTAACTTGTACCGCAACAGGTACCAAAAATGGATTTACCAATAACATTAGTCGCTTACATGGTATACCAAATGGTATAGTACCGTTCCAATACATCTGGAAACATTTTGAGTCTTGTGTTTATCGAGTGGCCCCTAAAAATATAAGAATGAAAATTTGTTCATAAATTTATTTTCGAGAATGTATTACTTGAAATTGAAAACTCAGAAACCTCGAAAGTTTGTGTCTACCAAAGAAGTATACACTAACCTTATGCATAAGCTTTGCTATCCAGAAAAAAACGTGTTTATCAATCAATAAGTCGTACTAAATCCAAACCAATTTGGCTTGTCTTTGGTGTACACTCAGAAAACGGTTTAGTTATAATAACCAAGATTTGGTTATAGTGACCAAGTGGCATAGTTGGATATGGCGAAATAAATATCTAGTTCACGAAAGTCTGCAATTTACTTGAGCCTTCTAGTTGGGACAAATGTATATTTGTTAATAATTACAAAACGACTACCTTGAGTGGACAATATTGTTAGTTGACAAAAATCATTGTTCAGCAAATATAAACAATGCTTTGGTTGATACAAGTTTTCAATTAATTTTATGAACTTGCTGTAGACGTGAATCAGCTAACCGTTTATTATTGGAAAAAAAGTTTCAGTTTGACACAAATAAAAATTTACTCGATGGTTGTTGTGTTTACTTCTTTTATTTGCATATATTAAGTATAAAAAATATAAACATATTTACATAAATAGTTACTAGTGTAAATAATACATATGTATATGGTGGTAAGAATTTCCTAAAAAGAAACGATTAAACAGGAATAGTCGTGCGAAAACCCAGGTCAATATCTGCTGGAAGTGCTGGTTTAAGTATACTGCTTTGCTTTTTCCTTGGCTAAATACCTAGATACTTTCTAATTATAATTCACATGAATTATATATCCACTGAGAAATGCCGGTTGGCATCAAACTTTATATTTTTAAATAACCATACCCGCACCGAAACAACTCGCGGCGATGGCAAAACTGAAACTGAGACAAACAAGCCTGGGCATGTCATAGCACACACTTTTCTTTCTCTACCCAGCGCAGTGATCGACATGCCATAGCTTACTGAGCGCTCTGTAACCACACGCGTGTTTCACCCGTATACGAACAGCGGTAGCGGAGCAATGATTTCCACGCACACAGTCTCATTCATTGAATCGTTTTTATGCAATGGTCGGCATACTAGCGCATTCAAACGATTCAATAAGTGGGACTGTGTGCATTGCTTAGCTGGCGCTCTTCGTATGTGAAACACACATGAGCTCAGAGAGCGCTGATCATTATTTAGGGGGTGCTCATAAGCATGAATATATTCCGCTCTCAAACCAAATCGATCAACTAAGATTTGGTAACTATGACTAATCCATGTGTTGAAAGAAAGCTTATCTGTATTAGCAGAGCTTAATGGCATCCTTTTATGAACCATACTTTAAGTTGAATGGAATTTGTAGAAATATGCTTCAAAAAAATATTTATTAGTATTTACCAAACCCTTCAACTAAATTAACGATTTGGTACAACCTAGATGAATATTAGAAGCTTTAATATATTTAGTTATAATTACCAACCCATGGTAATAGTTCCCAATCCTTGGTCACAGTTCCCAAATATTGTCAAAATTCGGGAACTAAATATCTTTAGTTGTCGAAACTAATCCTTTTTCTCAGTGTAGTTTGAAAATATTTTGGAAAGGGTTCCCACCTGCTTGAAAATTTAGATTAATTATTCGCAAGCTATATGAATAATTTAAATATGGGTGTCCAACGGAAGATTGTTAAGAAACCTTTAGTTTGGACATTTGTAATATTATTGAAGTGTTTTATAGAGGTTGCCACCTGGTTAAAAAATTGAATTAAATGCATTATTTTAATATGGCTATCAATCGAAATGGTTTTTAAAAGGTTTTATTTCTAAGCTGCGTGGTTGCCAACTATTTGAAAAATTAAATTTTACTTGTATTAGGTAACTGTAATATGTATCAAAATATGGGCGTCGAATGAAAGGAGTATAATAAGATTGCAGTTTGAAACAGACATCTTTATTTTGAACATGGAATTTTCTGAGGTATTCCTAGAGAGTTGCCACCTGTTTTAAAACTAAATTCAAATTAAGTTATTTAATGGGTTGAATGAATTTTTACAATATGGGTACCAATCCAAATGGTTCTGAATAGGCTTTATTTTTAAGCTATATACATCAGGGTTGCCCCCTGTTTGAAAAATAAATTGGATTTGAATTCAGAGAATAAGTTAATTGAAAACGTATCACAAGAAAGAGGTTTAGGAAAGTTTTAATTTGAAAATATTTTGATGGGAGTTAAACAAATTTGAAAATCTCCTATGTTTTTAGCTGAGTTTAGGTATGTTGAGTTTTATTTAAATGAATTACACGAAATGTGGGACGGAAAAATTTCATACACTAATCTAGATCTAGTAATGGGCATAGCATTGTCTACAAGTGGATCTGTTTCGAGCCTTCTGTGCATTTTCAATTAACGCGCGCTTAGTAAAAGCTGTCTCTGCTGATCCATCCTAATACACACCAAAACTCTCTAATAATTTTATTGAAAATAATTTTCATAAATACTCACTTAACATTGACTTCGAAAACGTCGCCATTTTTTACCTTGAATCTCAGCTTCACTACAAAAGCTCCAATGACTCGTGAGAAAAAAGAGATATTGAATACACCACTTTTGCGTGGTTCCAACACATAACCCTCTTCAGGTTTTACTAATGCACCAGCAGTGCGGGGGTGCAAAACTTCTTTGAATTTTACTTGAGCATTTACTTTATCTAAATATTTAAGAAAGTTAAAAATTACAAATTACGGATTGTGCTATTAGTTAATGACTCACCAGATCTCAGTTCTTATCACCCCAACGTACCACCCAAATGTCAGTAAATCAAAGCTCTCGAAAAATCCTTAAACTTTTGCTAAGGATTATGGTTTTTGGCCGAACGTAGGAGTCGCCTTCTTAAATTTTTCGTAATCTCTTCGGCTTTTACTGTCGGATCTTAAAGTATGATATACCGCTATTTTTGTCTCGAGGAGACATTTTTTTTGTTACAAACTTCATTGCCCTCAAGTACTCCGATCTAGTAATTACCCACCAGATCTTAATTCTTATCACCCCAACGTAGATACCACCCTAATGTCAGTAAGTTAAAGCTCTCCAAAAATCCGTAAACTTTTGCTAAGGAAGTTTTTTGAAGATTCCAGAACTATTTAAAAACAAATTTTATTGCCGAATGTAGGTGTAGAAAAAGAAAAGAAAGCTACAAAAAAATTGTTTTCCAAATTGCATTGCAAAAATATTTTAGACTAAAAGGTGAACGGCGAACTTTTTTTTTGTTTTGCTTGTAAGGTGGTACGGTCTAATGTACACTTCACTTGTTAACTTGTTTTGGTATTATCGCCACAAAAAGAGTATATCTATCAGAAAATACTTTATTTCGGTTACCAAAATTTTTTTGTTTATGATCCGTACCTCGGTTTCGATTTTGAAATGCTTATAAGCAAAAAATTGATCGGTATGTAAGTATTGGTAGAAAATAAACGCTAATATTCGTCATGAAGGATTGTTGGGAGCGCATTGGGTTTGTGTTGCAGAGTGGATCTTCTTGCGATTGAGTTGGATCGGTAAGAAACGTTACAATTAAATCTTTTCCCGCAATAAATTCGTTACATATCATAACAGTAAGTCTTGATTCTCGTTCATATTTCAATTCTTCGAATGTTAATTTATTTGTGTTAAGGTACAAGGAGTTCGTAACTGGCTCATGCATTATATTTGTTTCGTAAAATACTAGAAAATTAAAATAATTTATTAGGGTGGAATCGACTTTATCATTTATTTATTTTTATTTTTACTTACAAGAATCGACTTTGAGCTTAATGACATCTTGCATAATATTGTCATCAGCTACTTTGAGAGTTAGTAATATCCTAATGTAGTCATGCTTTGGAATGCCTTTTTTCGTTTGAGTCACCTTAATATTCTGCGGTGGGCTAATGAGACTGCATATAGAAATGTTTACTTTTTTTTTGATAAATCATTACCTCTTTACAACAATAGTTTGCGTATCGTTCGTTGGGTTGAAGGCAACGAACTCGTAGTAGGCATATTCTTGTGGCACCGAGGATGGAAAGTCAATGGATTTGGGTATATAGCAATGATCCTTTGCTCTCAAGACTGCATTAAAAATAAATATTACATTATTTAATACATATAATCTACACATGCTAGGATAGGTTAAATGCGGAAGATCCCGCGAAGGAATCACTTAGACATAGTTTTTATTGCCCATTGTAATGCCACTTAAAAGAAGGATTTTTTCTGGAACGGTAATTGGTAGCAATAGGAGGGCTGTGAATAATGCTGGAGCTCAAAATGACATTCCACAGGCAGTTGATGTCCAACCAAGGGAGTTTCTTGGGAGTTTTAATAAAATATGATCCTAGGTGTTTAAACCTTAGATGCAGAGCATTGTGTTATGCTCCCTGTTGGGGAGCATCTGGGCCTCGCCGTGAAGGTGGTGTTGAGGCGACATCAGGAGGCATCCTGTAGCGGTCCGGAGGGCCTTGCTCTAGCATTTTTATAGCTTCGTCCACTGCGTCCTGCTAGCACGAGGTGACCACACGGTCGCTGCCGGCCAATTGCCTTATATCTTGTCTTTGCCCCAGGTACTGCCGGCTAGCGACTTGAAAAGGAAAGCAAACTTTCGAAGGTAACTCCGAGGATTTTTGAGCTATTCACCATCGGATCCTTCGCCAAGGTGGTAAAAAGGGTTGCCAAGGATTTCGTAAGCACCCCCTGCCCCTACCTGGCTACGCCCATGTACATGGTTACATTCCTAGCAATTCGGATGCAATGATGGAATTTTCGTAGATTTAACGAAAATCGTATATTACCTATTTTCTTAAATGTAAGACTACTGACATAAAAAACACATTAGGTTTGGCAGCTAAGTTTAATGCAGGTGTCAAATTACAGCACTTTCGTTTTGAACCCACAAAACGGATAAACACAGACTTACCAATTATGGGTATTTCAAAAGTTATATTCGGATGCTCCGATTGAATGTAAATATGTCTGTAATCAGTGTGCACGCTATTCGAAGTAGGAGTTATCAGAACCTTTATTTCAACAACTTCATCCGGTTGCAAGTAGGCATATTCCCAGTCATGAGGAAAAATAATTTTTGTATCTTGTAGACTATCAGTGGCATATATCAAGTTGCGTGGATACTAAAAGGAAGATAGTGGAAAAGTGCACCTCACATCTTACTTTTCCAAATAAAGAGCTCGCAATCAATTCCATTAAGTTGTTCATTAATAAAATCTTAAATAATTCAACTTATTTGAAGAAAACTTACCAAACCTTTATTTTTGATAGTTATCGTTTGCGTATATACTTGCCCCTTTTTCAGTTTTTGCAAACGACTACGCGTGGAATTATAATCAACGTCTCCACCAAATTATGGGTCAATGAATAATCTGCAGGTACATAACAATATAGATATATTTGTATATATGTATGTATGTATGCATACACTTATTTTTTAATAATGCACAAGTTTTCACTCCTTACATTCTCTGGATGAGCAACAAAATTTCTGTTTCGACATCTCTTCGTTTGCTTTTCGAATTGCAGTAACGGGTTTTCGAACTCAAATAACTTCCTTCCCTTTTCGATAACTTCCTCGAATCAGAGAACGTTTATAAACCTTCTCTGCTCAAATCATTCACAATGGATGCCTTTGCTATTGTGAACGCCTGCGGACACAAAAAATTTTCGTAATTCGCAATCAGCTGTTTTGTTGTGATAGCGGCGTTGGGCTCATGTGTAGAAATTCTTGCTTGATATTTGTGATTTGTGTTAATTATTTCATAAATTTGAAAGAAAGAAGTGAACTTTCAATTGTCTGGCGCGACAACATACTTACAAAACTAAACATAGAAAGCCATAATGTCACAGCTGTTCCGTCAAGGTAGGTGGTAGAAGGCCTGTAGGCTTCCATCCTTGTTATACAACATTGCCTCCTGATTTCTTAAATTTATCTTTTAGTAGCTTTACTATCCTGTCGCACACCTATCACACTATCACAACGTTTTCGTGGTAAAATCAATATACAACGACCACGTGCACCACACTATGAGCGCGCCAAGGTGATTGCCGTCGCACAATCTCTGCCAACGCTGGAGGAACCTAAAAAGCAAATCACTTGTTTTCAACGCCGCCAACGGGAAGCTGATGTAGAGAATCCATATGTTGCGGTCATTGCGCGAGAAGTACGTAATTGGCTGGAACATTCACGTCTGATTGGCTTCTATCACCTCAACTCGATTAAACAAGATGATCTCTTTGAAGTGCGAGTAAAATTGCACAAACAAAATATGCATCTTAAGTCCTATGGTAAACAAATTGTACACAAAGCCGTTGAGGGCACGCGATTCGAAGCCATCCTACCACTATTTGAAAGCAAAAACTGTATAGTATTTTCGACAGAGCAGCGTGTTGGACAGCTCCTACGAATAACACGCCGTGTGCCACAGATGATATTGCTGGCGGGAATAGTTGATGAGCGTCTACTTAGTCGAAATGAGTTTATGGCCTATGCACAATTGCCAGGTCTGCAAGCAGCTCAAGGAGAACTTGTACAAATTCTCAACATGGCAGCTAGCAATGTAGTGCGGCAACTAGAAACACATCAGAAAAATTTTGTAAATGTGCTTGATGTGTACGCCAAGGGTGAACCGGAAACAACCAAACCGGCTAAGGAAGCGAATGAAATAGAGAAAGCGTGAAATTAAGTTACATTTTTAGTGCGTAAAGTGAAGTTTTAATTGAAATCAGAAAAAAAACGAATATGGATTTTGCTAAAATATGAAATGGTTTAAACTAATCTGAACGGAATATATTGTACAAACCAGGGAAAATGATGAATAACAGAGGAATTCTTTTGCAAGTGCGAGAATATACCAGACATCCTGCTAGAAATGTTAAAACAGCTAACAAAACTTGCATGGAGCCATAGCAATAGGTAATAGGATTTTCATTTCATTTCATTTCATAGAAAATTCTCTATCCTTATTTGGTTTATTTTATTTTATATATTTTCTTGAATGTATTGCCTATTCTAGCTTTTTATTATATTTTAATATTTGTTAAAGTTTAAGTTATTCTCTTCAACTGTAAAGACACCCAGAACGAAACTGTGACTGGCCTTTAACATTTGTATGAAGGAATCATTAGGTTTCGTGCGTTCAATGCTGATTGTTTTAATTATATATCATTTATAGTTTTGTTTTATCTGCTAATTTTACTTTGATAACATTTTAATTTATGCTGAAATTCTATTTTTTCTTTAAATTTTTTTAGGCAGGTCCTGCAATTCACTTCCGAGTAAATTCCAATACCTGTTAATTAAAAATTCAAATAATTGAAGACCCGGCCTGATTATTTAATTTATCACTATATTCACCCATTTCAACATTAAATACATACACACATATTTCTTTAAGATTTTTTATTCATATTTTACTTTATTCACCTGCTCATTTTACACATTTACTTGTCTTTTGAACTCGGTTTAGTCTAGGTATTTTTTGGTGATGAAAATTTATCTAATTGCGTATAGTCTTTGGCACCCAAAATTTACACTCCCAGCCAGCAAAATCATCGTAAACAAGTTCGTAATTGGATATTTTCTCGAAGAAAAACCGGATTAAAAATCGTTTATGATAGCCGTTTACGACTCTTTCTCGAGCACTTTTTCGCTTTAAATTGTGCATCGCCTACGAACAGTCGTAAACGGATCGAAAAAGCATTCGTATGCGAATATTTTTACGTCCGTTTTTGAATTGTAAACGAGTCTCGTAAACGATTAATTTACGTTAAAAAAGCGTTTTTTACACTGCTTTATCTACTGTTTTTGAATGCTAAAAATAAAGGCAATTAATTAATTCAAATTATTGTAGTTCTTTTATTGAATGGAATTATAATTAATAAATATTTATAGTGCCGGATCAAAGTATTGGCACAGAGAATTTTACGCAATGTATGCAAAGTTTTTTACCTGAATTTCTTTTCGCACATTTTTTTTTTTTTATATAGTTAGTATGAAGACCTACTTTCGAATCAGATTTTTGAGAAAAATTCTGAGTATGCAGTTTTATATCCCATTATATTTTGGTATAACACTAGGAACTAATTGCATTGACAGTCTTCAGACTCGACCACCGGCAGGACTGCAATCCAACATTCGCTGTCGACAGTTAAATGCCATATTGGCTAATGCCTCGGCGGCGTCCAGCTCTAATTGTGTAGGGCAGGAATAAGCAGATTTACGTTGCAGGATGCTGGAGTTGGCTGGTATAATGGTGACGCGGCGTAGTTGCTTTGTGCGCTGCTTACGTTCCAATCTACCTCTGAAAAGGGAGTTCAATTAAATATAACAAATTATTAAATATCGACATTTCAAAATGCTTACGTTCTGCTATTCCATTCGATAAAATAATTGTTCTTATCGGGCGTAAAGCGTGCTGCACTCTCCAACCATTTTGTCAGTGCCGTATTATCAACATTGTGCACGCCAGCTTTGTTCAGCTCATCACGGCTGGTGTGTGCGGGCACCGACTGCTGTGGCATTCCGGTTGCAGTTTGCGCATCACGCGTGTCGCGCAAATACTTTTCCATCATTTTGTGTTTGTACTTTGCGTTATTAGCGGTTGATATTGGTTTCTCCGTAGCGTGTTGTTTGCCGCCACTCATCCATTGTTGGCATGAATTTGTCTTTTGATCAGTGATACTACTTGCTGTTGGCTCATGGGCGGTAATAAGAGTATCTGTTATTGTATTTCGTTTATCACAAATTTGATTTTTCAAAAAACCACTCATTTTAGGCCTACTCCTGTCAGCGATATTATAACAACAACCGCCACCCGAAGAGCTCACAGTCCATTCAGTGCCACTAGAAATACCATCTTCACGTCTCGCATATTCATCCTCATCACTTCGTTTGTACTCATCCCCATCCCGTTCCAATTCATCTTCTCCCCAAATGCTATCCTCCGAGGATATACTAAATTGTTCCACATTGCCACGTGCATTCGTATTGTAATGCTTAATAAGATGACCCCAAGATGTTTTGCTACGTTCACGCTCAGAATTTTTCAGCTTTCTCCGCCAATTATCAAACCAATTACAAATTTGTGTGTACGTTAGGCCAGTTTGATTGGCCAAGCGTTTCTTTTCATCCCGACTTGGATATGGGTTTTCGCGTCGCCGCACAAGCCAGTCCTTAAGCATACGCTTTATTTCGGGTGTAAAAAGCCGCTTCACCAGGCGCGCTTGATGTAGGTCATCCTCTGGTGGCCAGGCACGTCTGAAAAGAGTATTTTATTAATTTATTTATTTAACAATTTTTCTGATATATGTATTAGTATCTGTTGTAGCTTTAAAAACTAAAGAAAAACTGAAAAGGGAATGCTGCCGGAGGATAAATCCTTGACCAGGTATACAACTGGATCGATCCTTGACTTGGCTTTCGCTGCTACTCTTACGACAACATTTCAGTACATTTGCAGAGATATACTCAAATTAAAGATGAGCAATGTGTTACCAGAACAGCTACGCAAATTGAATTCAAATTATGCTCTTTATGCCAAAAATCACTTTCAAGCGCAGCATTTTATAAAATCGAGTGGTAAAAAAGCATGCAATAGTAATTAATCTTTAATTTTATGCACATATACATACATTTGTCAGTTAAAACGCACTAAGTATACAATCAACCAGTTAGAACAAAACAGCAGGCAGCCAATATAGGAATTTCGTGTTAGCTAACAGCGCAACTATAACAAGAAAAACGATTATTAGCAATTTGCATAAAATTTAAATACTAAAATTATTCATTAGAATGCAATGAATCCAGTGTAAACTATTTAACACGTCAGCATTGTGTACTCACATACACACACGCACCTGCTATGTCGACGATTACGCTGTGGACGACCCGTCGTCATGAATTTCTCCATCATTAAAAACGAATGCAACTGAGGTATTACTATTTTTAGAAGATAGATAGAGATTGAATTTTTTGTGACAAATATTTTATTAAACAAAATTTGGCTCTGTTGTAGAGTACATCACCGCTTAACTTAAATAAACACATTTTTTGCTTCAATAATCGAACTTACTGAACAGCTTTTGAACCACTTAAAGAATATTTCCAACTATCACAGAGCGAGAATGGGACAAACAGTCCCACTTTTAACTGTAAAAATTCAAAAATTAGGGAATTCGAGAATGAATTATGAAGTGGAACTAAAACCTCAAGGCTGGATAGAAATTACAGAAGATCCATGGTGAGGTCAGCTTCTCAGACTATTTTTTTGAATACATCAGCAAAATGATTGTCTGATTAGCATCACGAAAGCTGTAAAATCAAGGATAGCGAAGCTAAATTTAATTGTTTTCAGTACTTTATAAACCGGATTGTACATAACTTTACTGAAAAACTTTTGGAGTTTGCTATTTAGCAAAATTTGCGAGTCGAACGGTCCATTTAAAGATTAGTAGTCTATCCCTTTCAGGCGTTCAAAGTGGTAAGGAGATATTCATCAAGTTTTTAAAACTATCCAATATATTTTCTTATTTTTCACCAGTTTTCTTTAAAAGCGATACTCGTTAAAAATGGGACCGCAACGTAGCTGATCGGTTACTCAGAAGCCCGATTCTCGAAAAAAAAATAATGTGCTTATTCAAGTGAAGCGGGGTGTAGCTTTTGCACCAGAAAGTTATGCGTAAATGTTTATTATTATTCAAGCAGCTATGTAGTTCACTTAAGTATTGCAATAACAGTTAAACGATGTTTTGTACTTATGACATTTTCAACAAGGGGCCTCTTCTTTGATGTCATAACCAAAAAAATGTGGGTCTTAGGGCCATTTTTTCAGTGTACGGCCGTGGTTTAAACTAAGTTTAAATGCCCGATCTGGCTGGTTTAAACTAAGATCAGCCGGCTGTTCAATTTAAACTCAGTTTACTTAATCTAAGTTTCAACTGGCACTGAAAAACTGGCCCTTAAGCTGCATTATGCATATTGTAAATGTCTAAATTTTGCACTTATTTAAAATCATTCATCTACATATTTTCGACTTGAGCTACTCTAATTCATATCTGTCTCTTTTACATATGTACATACTTATGTACATACTCGTATGTACCTATATTTATACGAAAAACATTCACTTTCAAAATATTGCGTGGGCGTCGAGGTATTTACCAAGTTTTTATTTTTCATGTTTTTAGTCGTTTTATTGTCGCAATCAAAATAAGTTTTCATGTTTTTTCAAAAACAGTGGCGTTAATGCCAAGTACATACCAAAAGAAAAGTTAAAGACAAAAAATAACGTCGGGCGCTTGTTGCTCTCCGTGAGTACGGAAAAGTTGAAAACCACCTTTTGATTTTCTCGAAAAGAGCTCATTTGCAAAAATGCATGGATATATGTAGATTAGCTCGCAGAGAAAAACACGAGGCACATATTTACAAATACATACATGCAGTACATAAGTAGTATATACAAATCCGCCTACATACATACGAATCCCATGTTTGAAGACCTTGAGTATATATAAGAGTTTTTTCACACTATTACTAATTTTTATATTTTTTTTGTATGAAAATTTTATTTAAACTATTTACAAATATTTATTTTAGGCTCTTCTGATTTGGTACCTGTACAACGCACGCAAATAAATAACTGTTTATTGACACTCAAGTCTCAAATAATCACTTTTAAAATTAGCACTGACGAGTATATAACAAAAATATTTCTGATGATTAACTTCCTCATTGGCACAATAGATTAAAAACTAAATGTGTGCTGATGAACGAAAACAACAACACTAGCAGCTATTTAGCAGCAAACAAAAAAACAGCCTTCATGTTTTCATGTTTTTTTTTGTGTGTTAGCGCTTCGAAACGAATGTAACACGGAAATTATATAAGATATTTGTGTTTACAGCAGTTTTCTCAGCTACTTTGCTTATTGCTTTCGTATTAAATATTGCATTATTCCAGTGCTGCTTAAAAAGTTCTCAAAGATTACATAATTTCCAAAATTTATACAACAAATATCACAAATAGCAAGTACATAATCAAAAAAAAAAAAAAATTATAATTATAATTAAAAACATATACATACTAATTCTTTGCTTCCTCTAACCACCTTTGCATTGTCTTGCCACAATTAATTAATTTCTCTATTAAAAATTTTAAGAAAAACACCCACCTCTTAAAAACAAAAAACAAAAAAACACTCTTGTACAGTATCTATATTTATTTATTTTCACCAGC